ATAATTATCCCAATCGGACGATCGTCGCCTTCCACCAGCCGTAATTACTGATATTATCAGGTGTCTGAGCACTCCTTACACCCCGCACCAGATAAAGACTAAAATCCGGTGTAACGGGCTGCTGCAGGTGGATTTTCTGCGTGCTAGGAAGCTGTACCTGCAGTGTGGCGGCACCGCGCCGGCTCGGTGATCAATTAATTGAGGCGACGAAGGACGGATGTATGATAAGTAGCGCCGGTTTGGATTTTTTTCGGCTGTCACGTGACTGCAAAAAATTGCTAGCGGAAGATCACGTGACCCGACATACCTAACTTGTGTTCACAGCTCCATCAGCTCAACACTTGATGAGTGTAGCATGGTATAGTCCAAGTGACAGAGCCTGTGTGTATCAAATGATTTGGGTGTCTCAATAGAAAGACGGCATGCATCTCACGCATCGAGGTACACAACGTCTAATCTGCTGGCAATCATCTTCCTACTCATCTCATCAGCTTTAAAGCACTCTCATATGAGGCTCGGTCCTGCTCCAAAGATAGCCGAATCCGTGATCTAAATATAGTCTTTGTTTATAGCTTCACATGGGGACGGGAGCGGCCAATGAATCAATAAGGCAGACATCAGTCACTGGGTCGGTCGACCGACAACGTCGCCCCTGTACGGATCAATGAGTCTGTGTGGTGATGAAGGAAGTGATGCCGTCGGCGTCAGTCCGACACGGCCCGGAGTCCTGTCACCTGAGCGGTAGCACGGTCCGCGCCCGGTGGTGTCCGGTATCGGAGCGGGCCCGAGCCCGGTGCGGTGGTCCAGTGTCGCTCGCGGCGCGGCGTCGCCCAGCCCCGTCAGCGGCCGACACGGCGCTGACCTTCATTTACCGATAGAAAACACCCAGCAGCGGGGTGATACGGTGCGATCGGCGGATGCTCCGCTCCTCCAGATACCTCGCCGTTCCCCAGTGATTCATGCTGGCAACAGAGAAATGTGAGCCTGCTGACTGCTGACACAACCTCATTGCATAGTGCTTGGCTTATGTCGACTACACGTTTATATAATTGTGTTATTAATTGATGTCTGGTTTGCTTTGGCACTTACTGATATGCATAGGTAAATCCTGCTACCATATTACAATCGGAGGCGTATTTCACTTAAAAAACTTGTATTTAAAAGTGTTTGCGATTTACAAATCATAAGTATTTTGCAAACTATATACAAAAATCGATTTCACAAAGCTTCACTGACATTGGCACATTCGATAAAAATGTTTGTAAATATACTTATAAGTAGTAAAAATAGTTTGTGATCCAGAACAATGACTTGCTACCGATATATAATTTTTATCAAATACATGATATCTTGGTTTCATTAAAGCAAGAAATCGAAACGCAAAACATTTTAACCCTCGCCCGCACAAGCCATTTTCCCGGTTCTGCGACACCTGAGCGAGCGTCATTTCAGCGAACGACATTTGAGAGAAGCCTTTTCAGCTATTATCAATTTAAGCGATTGACTTTTTCAGCGATTGTCAAGTCGGCGAATTCAATCACAGCGATTATCAACTTAAGCGAGGACCAGAATCAGCGAAACCAGATTGAGCGAATATATGGAGGTCGATGGGGGACCAATTGAGCGAACACAGTTACAGCGACACCGAACGCGACGGAAGTCAATCATTTGCTACTTTTCGTGAATTCTTGCCCTTGGAATACCCGCTTGGGATGTGTCATGCTTCAAGCTGCGCGCGGCAAATTAAAAAATTGCTTTTAAGCTTGGAAACCACAAAATATCTGGCCTCATTCTGCAACTTTGCTCTGGAAATGTGGAACGTGAGATATAGGGCGATGGAAGGAATGCCAAGGACCAACAATAAACTCGAGGGATGGCACAGGGGGATCCAGTCTATGTTTCAGGGACCTCACTAAAATATTTGGAAATTCGTACGTTGCTTAGGGCAAGAACAAATTTTACAACATGGGGAACTGATCCAAATTCAAGCGGGGAATTTCGCGAAAAACAGCACAAGTAATATGAATCTCTGAACAAACGTTTGGTCATCATTATTGGCAAACAGCAGGTGGTGAAATCGAACCACTGGATTTTTTTAAAGAAATGTGGCATTAAATTTGGAGCTTAATGTCTGAGCTTTGAACGTGACATCCGCCATCCAGTTCCGGATAACTATGAAAAATTCCGGAAACATGCGTTGTACGATCGCTCGCAAAAGAAAAAAGAAAAAATACGCCGTTACGGGACGATGAAGTGTTTTGCTCAAATGACAGTCGCTCAAACTGTAGTCGACGAAAAAGATGTCGCTGAAACATAGCTTTCGCTTAACCCTCGCCCTGGCAGGGCATTTTTCATAACACGGCTTGGCAGGGGGGGGGGTCGATGCGACCCCCCCCCCCTCGCGATTGGCTCCTATGGCATCTAGAAACACCAAATTTGGTAGGTAGGTGGGCCCCCTGGAGTTCTCGCCCCGGCCCTGTGCAAATTTGGTTGCTCTAGGTCAATATTTAGGGGGGTTTTGGGGGGTATAAATGTAAAAATTTCGCTAAAAACAGGTCAAAAGTTTTTCGCTTATAACTTTTGCTCTAATTAAGATAGAGCAAAAAGAAAAGCACCAGTGAACTCAGCACGTCAAGGCGCGTCGAATGATATACTTTTTAGCTTGCTTAAGTGTACCTTAAGTTTTTCTTAAATTTTAAGTAAACTTAAATTAATAAATTAAGTTAAAGTTGACCAAATTGCATCATATCGCATATCGTTCGATTCGGCTGATCACCAGGAACACAATGATATCATTTTTGAAGCTCTAGCGTCATTATGTGCCAAGTTATTGGCAAAAACGTCATTTGACCTCAGTTGACCTCATTTGACCTGACCCATGGATAAGTACACCAAACAAAGAAGCACCAAGTGACCTGCTGTTAATTACTGTGATTTCAAAGCACAAAAGTGATGGAACAAAGCGGATATCTCCAGTATTTTCCGAATTTAGTATTTTCCCATAGGCTTAACATTACGACCTAATGACCTCTAACTGACCTCAGGTCATTGACCTCAAAAAACCCGAACTATATGTTATACAACTCGGTGAACTTAGCACATCCTGAAAGTTTGAAGGAAATCAGTGCAAAACTGTGAGTTGGACAGGTGCAAAAAGAAAATTGAAATTTGACCATGACCTTGTACCGGTTTTTCTGACCTGGTGACCTGACCCAAGGTCACCCGGACCTGAAATTTTCAGGTCATATGTAAAAAGGTTGCCCCATAGGCTGTGCCAAATTTGGCGTTACGCTATCTTCGAAAAACCTTAGGGGGGGGTCGCATCAACCCCCCCCTGCCAGGGCGAGGGTTAAATTGATAATCGCTATATTTGATAATCGCTCAATTTGATATTCGCTAAGTTGCCAGTCGCTGAAAATGGCTCGCTCAAATGACGTTCGCTCAAATGACACTCGCTAAAGTCGCTTGCACCGCATTTTCCCATCCTAGAACGCACACATGGGGGGGGGGTTGCCACCCCCGCGCCATTTCGTCCCTGTTGGAGATAGAGCTTCGCGGTAAAGACCACAAAACTTCTTTAGGAAGAGACAAATCCAATGATACCCAGTTTTAACTTCACAGGTCAGTCATTGACCTTCCAGGTCAGGTCAAACTAAAAAATGTTGCTGTTTTGGGTCACCGTTGGATATCAAGTGCGCTGCTCCTCATACACCGATGACGATGCCGAATTGTGGTGCCAAGCCAGCTAGAACCTCTTTGTCACACTATCCGACCAGGTTTTTTGCTGCTGAGGTCATTTCAGGTCAAGTTAGGTCAAGGTCAATGATATGTGTTTGTATGTCTGTGTGTGTCTGTGTGTATACTGATGTGTGCACCGATTGTTTATGTGTCCATATTACATGAAATCATGATCTGAGAAGCTTTTACCAAAAATGCAGTCAAAAAAACTTCACAAAAAGTAAATTCCGCTTGCCTAAAACGCAATTATCTTAGATGACCTAGGTTGACCTTGACCTTGACCTTGACATCTGTACATCGTCGAACAACATGTTCCATGATAGGTGGGAGGTAAGACTGGCAAAAAAGGCCGAAATCAAGGTGTCAAAAGCTCACAAGGCCCATAGCCAACGCAAGATGTTGAGAATTGGCCATTTGGGTCATGACATGACCTGAAAAACAAGGTCATATCTCGGAAACCAAAAACCACAGAAACTTGAAATTTTCGTGGACATCAAAAAAGGACAGAAAAGCAGCTATACGAAAAATCAGGCTTCTAGCTCTAAAAGGCTTGAGTGCAGAGCAGAAAAACTACCTGGGGGTGGCAACCACCCCCTCCCCCCCAATGTGCGGGCGAGGGTTAAAGCAGAAAAGTGCTAAATGCTATTATGGTGCACGAATAACAAAACAATGACAATATCTAAATGTTGCACACATTGCTTTTTAGGGAATGAAAAAGAAAACTAGGGTATAAAACGTTTAAGCATCACATGTTTGTTTCATATCATTGATTGTTTTGCATTATTGCCGCTAAAAAAAATAACTAAATTCCGAACGCCAATACCACCTGAATTTTAGGTATGTATTTACAAAGTCTCCTTGCAGTTGGCAATTCCAACGGTTCTGTGCAAATTTTTTCTTGCAAAATAGTTTTCATGCTCGAATGTTTCGTGAAATGCGAAATTCAAATATGGGCTATTATAGTTTTAGTTTTTCATTGTAATAACCAATTTTGTTTGCTGGCGAAATAGGCCTTAGGTCGCCAAAGTAAGGCAGAACATAAAAATATCGAATTGGTTTTAGAAAAACGCTCTGAGACATTTCACCTATTTTCCTTGCAATCGCATTCCGTGCTTTTTCCAATTCGTCCCTATACTTTGCACTGTAGGTATGCTCTTCAGTAACGACCACCAATCAAGACCTTTTACGTCGAACCGTCCTTCCAATTCCTCCTGGAGCAGGTGGCGAGTGTCACAACAACAAAAAGATAAACCATGATATTGTACGCCAACAGTTTATTGACAATAACAACAACAAGAGAATGCCACGAAGGATTGACAAGCATTGTACAAAGTAAAAAGGCTTCAACCTAGATTTCTGAGGTTCCAAAGCAACCCGAAATCATTCAAACAGAAGTCACATGAGTCGATCCGAGGCCCTTACGTGGTAAGATAGCGGTCTCAGAGGCCCGGGCCAGCCGACGCCTTGGTCCAGTTCCGCACACCCCGCCTAGGTCCCTGGCGCCGCGCGCGCGCTCGTACAAAGCTGGGTTCGGGTCGCGTTGCTCGGGTAATGCCGTTTCTGCCTTTGGCCCGCCGCAGGCAGGTTGGGGCATCCGGTCCGTCTGCTGCCGGCGCTCGGGACTGCGGATCCCCTGCGCTCCAGCGCTCCCACTCGTCACCAGAAGAACAATCGTCATCATCGCACAAAAACACCATGGAGATACTGCTCCGAACGCCTGGCCTTCCTCAACCCTGATCGGGGAGCGACCGCGTCCCGCTGGCATCCTACTGTCATATCACATTGTTAATATCATAGATCCTGTCCTACGTTATGCCCTCGCGGTATTTACAAATTTATCAAGACAAACTTCCACAAAGAAAAAAGAATACTACAAAAGTTGAAAAGAAATCCTCACCAGTTACTCATTAATGCCAGCGGGTCCACCTACGCTACCACGCACAAACAATAAATACATATTTGGAGTGGCGCTGGGCCGGTGTGCGCGGCCGGCGGTGGGCGGACAGAGGCGGCCGGTGGCCGGTGGACGGACGCGCACCGGTCGCCCGTCGGTGGGTACAGAAGAGGGCCCTCGGAGGAGATCACGTCTGGAGATCACAGCCGCCAGCCAATGCTGATAGACACAGGACGCGCAAAGACATTCGCTTCTCGGCACGGAGAACGAAAGTTTAAATAATGCCAAAGTACGACAAAAAATGGAACGCAATCATCATTGTAACATAAAATAATGCCTCAAAGAAGTGCTTCTTTTCAGACAGACTAACTGGGCTGTAGCTTTTGAGGCTCGTGTTGAGGAGAAGCTTTCCACGCGTCGGTCAGTTGGCCGAGCAGAGGCTCGACCAACGTCAGCTTGTCAAGACCGCTCACGTGTGGGTTCTCTCCTTGAAGACGAGCGAGAAGGAGTCGACGGGCAGCGCCAGACAGCCGGTCACCAGGTGCTCCTTGACCATGCGCGAGTTCTTGGGGCAGTCGGGCAGCGAAATATCGAACTTCTGCAGCAGACACCCGATTGTGAGGAAGGTGATGTTGGACAGCATCTTTGAGCCCATGCAGCTGCGCTTGCCTGTGGAGAAGGGCAAGAAGTGCGGGGGCTTTACCATGGCTCCGTTTTTCACGAAGCGGCCGGGGTTGAAGGTGGCCGGATCGGTCCACAGTTGTGGACTCGTATTGAGCTCGTAGTTGTTGATGAAGACGAGTGTGTCCTTGCTGATGTCGTAGCCTCCGATGGTGGAGTCTCGGGAGGCCACGTGTGGCACGATGGGGCTGCTGCAGACGCGCAGCGCCTCGTACATGGTGCTCTCTGTGTACGGCAGGCTGGCGCGGTCGTCCAGACTCAGCTGCCGGTCACCGACGTGCGAGTCCAGCTCCTCTTGAACCTTGGCCTGCACCTCAGGATGGCGCGCGAGCTGTGGAAAGCCCGAAAAGGTCAGTCACCCACGGATCATTTTGCCAGTGATTCGCCTTATGCATTACACTTGACTTTTTCACTTGTTTTGCACCTTGAAATAATCTTCAGCATGTCTTGAAACCGTTAGGCATTTTTCAGAAGTAATAACCAAATCAATGCCTTTTTACTCAAATAGCGCATACATTTTCAAACGTCTCAACACAAAGAGGCGGACAAAAAGAAAAGAGGGAAGCACGCGAAGACATTTGAAGCTTATGCACCGATTTAATCTTGTGGACAATGTGACGATTATAGGCACGAACCTGTGTGACGGTTTGCATGATGATGTTTCCGACGGCGGAGTGTCCTCCCAGAAAGTCCTCCAGCTCGTAGAGCGCCGTCGTCTCCGATATCCGCTCATGATCTCCTTCTTGGCTCTGTTGAAAAAAGAAACATCTAAATGAAGGAATATAGATGGCAGGTATTAAATTTATTTACAATATGATGAACAATGTGTGATGTACACTTAAGAATTAATGTTTCCACCAGATATAGGCCAAGACTTACGTTCATACGCCTGAGCAGCATGTCGACAAAGTCTCGTGGGTTGTCGTAGTCGATGGTCTCCTTGTGGTGGTTGACGATCCGCTCGCAGATGAACTTCCTGATCCGGCTCGACAGTTTCCGCAGGTGCTTCAGCGTGCCAAGGCGGAAGACCCTCAGCCACTCGATGAAGTCCATGGCGTAGCCCTGGTTGATATCCCAGAAGACCTCGTCGAAGTCGCGCACCAGACGCTGGTACTCGGGGTCGTTCTGGTCGAACCGGACGGAGCAGAGGTAGTCGCAGAAAATGTTGCACGACATCATTTGTACGAGCGGCTTGAAGTCGATGGGCCGCCCGGCGGCCGCGCGGATTTGCTGCTCCACGGCAGGCATCTCGGTGATGATCGAGTCGTTCAGCATCTGGAAGACATCGGAGCCGGGCCGCACGTGCATGAAGTGGCGGGCCACGTTGCGGCGCGACACTTGTTTCTTGGACCAGTCGCAGAGCGCCAGCGCTGTGGGCAGAGGGCGAGAGAGCGCCGTCAGTGAGGTCGTCGCACACGTTTGGTTGTTTATCAGGGGGCGTGACGAGCGAGCGGTCCGTCTGGGCGGCAAAAAGCACTGCTGCGCCTGGCGGCAGTCATGGGTTCCCAGATGGTATCAGTGGGCAGAGCGCCGTTCCGGCCCGCCCGGAGCCGGCGGCGGCGCGGCGTCTGGCCCGGCGAGCGTCACGGCCGTCCAATGAATGGGAGGAGCCCGAGCGGCGTCCCGCCGTCTCGGCGGCCCGCCCCTCCCCTAATGGACCGGCCACATTCCGCTTCATCGCCGACGATCTGCCGCTCTTCAAACGGGCCGCACTGGCCATTAGTTGTCGGGCGCCGGCGCCGCCGCAGACGGCACACCTGGCCGAGTCAGCGCTCAAGTTCAGAGTCGCTCAGCAACAGCCACCCGGGCTGCCACGGCCATGTGAGAAAGCTGCTCCGGCTCGACGTCCGCCAGCTTAACGACTGGGTCAGACGCATGTTTATCGTGTACTCGGCCACCCGCCTCCGGGCGCCCTCACTTCCCGTGCATGCATATGAATGCCGCCGACGCCACGAAACGACGTCTGCAAAGTCGATAAGGCAGAAATAATCGGGTGATCTGGCTCGCACACCTGCAGACAGACTGCCGTTTAGGAATTTCTAAGGTCGGACAAACTGTCTGTCTCGTAAACCGGCCGAGATAGAATTACGCTCGAGCGTCCACGAGTTTAGGATTTCGGCGAAGGGACGGAGCCGTGACCGACGGCTGTTAAAGTCGAGTGTGCAGCAGGGAAGAGCGCCTCATGGGCGTGCCGCGGGGAGCAGGCACGGCGTGCGGCAGAGGGTTCAGGCCCAGGAACCGGCGGTGCGGAAAACCTCGGCTCCAAGCTACTGACGATGGAAGCAAGGGCCGTGCGGAAATTCCCAGCCTGGAGACGGCGACGGTGGTCTGTGCCGCTACCCCAGAGGTCGGCACGGTCGGCGCTACCGGGCGCCGCGATGCGCCGAGAGCCCAGCCTGGTCGCTAAGCCGCCCACTTAGCTCCCAGCTCGTCTGCGGATTACCAAACTAGTTGGCGCGGCGCCGGCGGGGTGTGAGGCGTGCCGGCAGCCGCGGCGCGACGCACCGGGACGGCCGGGCCCCAGCCACCGCGCGGCCAGCTCCAAAACCTTGGGCTCCGTGCCAACTGTGACGGGGGCCCGCTACCCGGCAACCCCAGCCATTACGATGAGTCAAGCGGTGTGGGGGGCTGGGGCGATGGGGGTGCGGCAGCGGCAGGGGCGTGTCCCGGCCAGTTCCGGACGGAGACCGGAAGATGGCAGCGCGCCGACTCGAGCCGCTGCAGGATAGGTCGGCGAGACCGGCAGCACGCGACCCTGACCGGCACTGCCGTCCCGCAAGGCCGCGCAAGCAGCCGCAGGCGGCGACCGGACACCGTAAACAAACGTAAACTTGACCTTCGCCGGCGCGCTCGGCGACCGTGGCGGAAGGCCGGTGCGCCGCCACGAGCCACACAGGAAATACCGAGCGATGGCATGGCTCCGGGTGGACTGGACGACCCCAGTTCGGCCCTCCCACCGGAGGGCGAGGGCGCTGGGCAGGCAGCCGGTCAGCTCAGCAGCCCAGTCGGCTGGTCTAGCAATTGGTCATAAATGAAACGTGCTGGTACAGAAGCAGGTCAGAAAGCGACGCTGCTGGTCAAGAAAGTGATCAGATTCTAATCCTGCCGTTCTGGCAACTGGCAATGCAGCTGGCCAAAAACTGCTCGTGTTGCTATGAAAACAGGTCAAAAGCGAACCATGCTCGTACTTATCTAAAATCAGAAACTAAAGCAAATAAAGCGTATCAGGAACAGATCATGCTGGTATGCCAGCAGATCATTGTTAGTACCTCTACGATACAGTGGTACGTGAGTGTCGGCACTAAGGAAAATTGGCTGAAGTTAAAGTCGAAGTCTGCGTGCCAACAGTCTCATCTAATTTGTTAGGGTCTTTCGATATGAAAGTTCAGTGGCTGACACTATCTGGGCATTTCTTACTGAGATATATTTCAGATTATATACGCTTTTCGCATTGCAAGAATAAAAAAGGCATTTAAAAGGTACAAGGCTCTGCTAACTACGAGCTAGCTGACTAGCCAAGAGCTAGCTTGTTGACCCCAGTCAGTAGCAGGTCTGCAGGCCCCAGCCACGATCAAAATGCATCCGCGCGCTGGGGGAGGAAGCTGTCGGTACTCACAGTTGTCGCGGTCGCCGCCGAAGAGCTCGTGGTAGCGCAGGAAGTTGGGCCTGCCGTCGAAGTGGTCGCCCTTGGTGACGAGCACCTCGCGGATGCTGGCCATGTCGTTGACGACGACGGCCTCTGTGGGACCCAGCTTGAGGCCGTAGACGGCGCCCAGGCGGCGGCTGATGTCGGCCATGCACTCGTACGGGTTGGGCTTGAGTCCGAGCTGGACCATGTTGCCGATGATGGGCAGCGCCCAGGGTCGCGGAGGGGGGCGTCGGGTGGGTCTCCTGCCAGCCAGCGGCAACCAGTCGGCCAGCAGCCTCTGGAAGCCCGCCTTCTGCTCCTTCGTCAGCAGCCAGCCCAGCAGGTGGACGGCGGCCAGCACTGCGAACACGACGGCGGAGAGCAGATCCATGGCGACGGGACTTAGCAGCTGGCTGGTGGGGGCGGGCAGACGTGCTCTGGCCAAGCAGAGGAGACTACACGCGCCCACCGCGGCGCGCGCCGTTTTAAGTAGCGGCGCGCGTTGAAGTGGTGGCGACCAATCAGCGGAGGCGGCGCGCCGCGGCCGGCCCAAGTGCCCCCTGCTCGGCGCGGGGCGTGCCGCACCATTAGAGTGCTCCGTCGGCCGCGCTCCGGTCAGCCGCCTCCTGCGAGCCACCGTAGGCCGTGCCTGCCGCCAGTGCTTCCTTCACTCTCCGGTGAGTACCGCCGGCCGACACACGTCCCCCGGTCTCAGCCGACAAACTGACACCGCAGGCGACCTCACCGCCAGGGCTGCCACGGTCCAGTGACGGTCCATCGAATGCTGTTTGTTCAAAGTCAAGTTCAGGATGCTCCTCAGATGTCATGCTTATCCGCGCTGCCGTACATGGGACGGTGCTATCAAGATGGGAATTAAAACGGCTGTAGCACTTTCGGCATTTACTGCTAAATATTCAATTGCTCGGTTCCGGATATGGTGTTGTTTAATCACTAGCACCAGGACCTCATTGAAAGGCGCGCTACCAACTTGAGCTGATGAGTTTCGTTGTGAAAGATACACTGACACAAATGGCAAAAGCGCTAGATGAATCGTTGCAAGATATTAAACGTTAGCCGATTTATTTAAATTAAAAAGTGTAACATCAGTTATTTATCATCTCCGAGATAGTGTGCATGCATAAAAGGCCGGTCCTTAGATGATAAGTTGGTTTTTGATTTCTAACACCCGTGTGATAGTCACTGAGATTGTGAGCCGGTAGAGGATAGACTAATTTCTTGAATAACAGAGATGGTCAAGCAACAAATAGAAAGCGAAATATCATTTGTGATTTAGTTATGCCACGGTAGGTATGGTAGCTATTGCCATGATAAAATTTCATTTGACTACGTATACGTCGTACCTTTTGCCGCAAGTTTCTGCAAATACCTATCCAGAAAATAAGTTCGGGATCTGATTTCATGAACCTTGACTTCGATGACATGAAAGAGCAGGCTCTTCTTTATGGCCAACTAAGGTCGAAGAATTAAACATATTTGCCCACGAATCCGGAAAGGTCGTAGCCGAGCGTCTTTTTTACAACTAAAACATGTCTTTCTTTGTTTTTTTTAACTGTTCTTTTGTGCATGCATATTAATGATAATTCAGCATTCACGCATGTGTAATACAGCTTGGTGTGGAGCATGATTATGTAATAAGTTATCTATACTAAACGTAAATACATTTTATGCAAATATACCTAAGAACTAACTAACTTGGCAATTATGTGTTATATACCTAATTCGTGTACATCAGTGCTCTCACCCTGTGATTTTATAAAACGTGGAACAGAGCCATGCTTGATAAGTCCCAATATATCTTTTATTTGTCAACCGGTATCATAACACCGTAAATAATAACAAGATGGATAGCTTTACGCAACCCATCATATTCAACAAATGCATATTTTGCATGAAAACGCTTCTATATTTCGCACAATGGCCATGTGAAATGATAAATGTATTGTCATGGATAACGTTTTGCTATACGAATACCATATTGTAGTTAGATAGTAGTTACAGGCGTTTCAAATCGTGATCAAGCGCGACGGAATGTGTAGTAGAATATTTTGAATATGTCTCTCATAAAACTACCCCTCAGAAACTATTATTCTAATTGTATTATTATTGATGTGATACAACGCAGTCTTTCTACTCAAAGAAACTTTTAGAGGTGATTTTTCAGTCGTCAAATACGATGTCGATGGTTTTACGTAACATATAAATAAATTGAAGTAGCACTGTATAAAACAAGCCAATTCATTCAGCTCACACCTAGTTGTGCCTTTGCTATTTCGGGAGATAAGCGCAGACGGTATCATTATATAACCAGACAACAATGTAACGGATCAAAAAGGATACCAAAGGACTCCGTATTTGGACGGCTCTGCCTAAAGAGAAGAGTCAGATCTCGGTCCGTACCGTTCAGGGCTGAGGCCTGCTACAGCTCGGGGGTTGCGAGAGCAGGTATACAGCTCTGCTCAGCCAGCAACAAACCGGCACAGCTCGACCGGACGACGGTCAGCGGGTCTCGGAGGCTGCGTCAGGGCACCTACGTCCTCCCGCGCATCACGTGATGCCACAAGGAGCTGTGACAGCATCTTCAGAAGACCGGCGCTTCACAGATATCACCCGGCTAACAACAAGGGTCAGCTGAATGACAAAACAGCTGCAAACTTCCATGAGCTGCACCTATGAAAAATGAAATGGACCGCAAAATTGATTACTATATCAACTTCTCTGCCAATATGTGATCTTTTGATAGACGAAGATACAAATGATACATACATATGCATAAGGAATGACAGGGCATAACCAATGTTACCTAACTGCTGCATGTAAAGAGCGGCGCATGAAAAAAGTGTTTATGTCCGGAATTATTATTACGCTAAATTAGCAGCACAGAACGAGCAGCGTCAAACCCGGGCGTCGAATTATGCCGAGTCATCGTCTGTTTGGCATGGCAGGTAATCATTTTGGCATAGGTCCAACAGGCTCTGCTATGACGGCGGTGCGAGGCGATTGAAGGGCGACGGAGGGTGCCCTCGGTGAGCGCGAGAGCGCGTACTTTCCACTTGTCGGGGACCCTGAGGCGGCGCACATCAATTTGGTACGGTGGTAAGGAGTGTCGTCGCCTTTCTTCCGGGATGGTTGGCGTCATCGTGTACGGTTCCCGGAGACGTCCCATGGCAGGGGAACGCCGCAGCTTGGTGAGCTGAAGCGCGTGGCTTTTCACACGAATGATTCATCTCACACAAGCACCTATCCGTGATACTATTCATTGTTGACCTTAACCAAACAGCATTTCTCAATTAGCAAATGCGCTTAGCATCTGAAAGAAGGAAATAAACACTTCGCGATTTTCTAGTTGTAAAATGTTTTACTTCTTTTTCACACAGAAAAAGGTTATTACTGGTCTAGTCTTCTCGTTGAGCACGAGCAGCACGACAGCCAGATCGCGTATGTTGACTAAGCGAGGCTTAACATACCGCGCGAGCGGGGCATCTAATCCCCTGCCGGCGCTCCCGGGCAGAGCGCCTGTTTTGGCGCGCCATTCGGGACGGTTTGTCGCCGGCCACTGTAGCGGCGCGCTGTCGGGCGACTGTTGCGATGTGCAGATGCACGCTGATCGGTGTCAGTGGTGTGTAACCTTGGCCGTCGGGCTGCAGCGCCGACCGTTACCGCCGCGGCACATTTGGGCACAAGAAAAATCCGCTGTAAGAGGGGATGACATTTCCTCGTCGTCAAAAGTTGCCAATCATTGAATGAGACATGTCTGAGGGTGTGGACGATCGGGACGTCGTCAAGGGCGCATAGGATTCTGAATGACGTAACGCCGTATCGCAAAAGGAGCGGCGGCTGTCATCAGCTGTGGGGAGCCGGAATTAATCAACTATTTCCAATCCTGCGTAGTGAGAATCCGGGTTCTTTCTGACAGCATCATTGCCGAGGCGGCATCGAGAGTCGCAGCTTAGCGAACTTGGTCAACCGGGCATCATCTCATGATATGCTGCATATAATACATATGCAGTGTGCACGTCTGATCTACCTTGACCCTAGGTCAAGGTCATGAACTGACCGGCAAAGGTCATGCTGCATATCAGTCGATCCGTATCGTCGAGCTGAACACATCTTAGATATGTATTTTCATCGTTCTAGCATGTCTCTATCAAGGGTTGTTGTTAAAAAAACTGTTTGGGACCTTCATGACCTGATGATGTTTTGGGAGTGTTTGGAATGACGCTCGTCCAATTGAGGCGCATTTCAATTTTCTCCTATCAGGTCAATTTTGCGACCTCCCCAGTAAAAGAGAGGTTGCAAAATTGACCTGACCTTAGGTTACCGATATCGAAATTCCGAGATATACATTTTGTACATAATGTTACTCTTATAAATGCCTGAAAGTTTCAAGGCGATCGATCAGTCTATGAAGAGGATTTTATTTCTTTCTGAGGTGAGGCCACTTAAAGCGTCTGATAGCCCCGGAAAAGCTGTCGAACGGAACTTAATTTCATTGACCTCGAGGTAACCGATGACGTCAAAGTACAGGTCAAAGTAAACATTATCGATGTTTTGCTTGTTCATATTTTGGGCTCTGGCCGCCGTCTTACAAGTTAGATCAGGCTCATTTTTTTATGTTTACGCACTCGTGAACAGGTGCTTTAACCCGCGCCCCACTGGGGGGGGGCTATTTATAGCCCCCCCTCCCGTTTTTCTGCAATAACTTCCAAACCGCTTGACGGATCAACGCCAAACTTTCAGTACCTTCGGCTGCATCAATTTGACACCTTGTGTCAAAATTTGAACTTCGTAGCTACCATAGGTCGGCCGGAAATGACGTCAGAGTGACGTCATGTTCGTCCGATTTCGACGCAAAACATTGAACCACGGCAATCGCTCCCAAGAGCTCAGTTTTTAAGCTAGATCCAATTTCTTTGCATGAAAGAACTCAGAATTGACCGCGCTATCAAACTGCTATCTCGGATTTTCAAAATTTTGAAAATTTCGAAAATTTTGTATAATAATATTCAAAATTTATATTTTTATATTTTTTTCCAAAAGTGTTTGACTTTTCGAAAAAACCGGAATATATGTGACAGAACGCATGATTATGACTAACTCTAGCAAGTTTTAGCTAAATATCTTCAAAAATGGCCAAGTTATACGCATTATTGCAAAAAATTCACAATTATTAATTTTTCAAATCAATTTGTCAGTACGTATTTGGCATCGTACACCAATATAAATGGCACCATCGTGTTCCTGAGCTCAAACTGCATCCAATAGACACCTTTTTTGTTGAAAAATTTCAACTTCAAAATTTGACCTTTTTTGACCTGAAAGTGACCTGACCTAAGCTAAATTCGACTCAAAATGACCTCGAATGACATAGACGACATCAAATTCGAAATCTATGGCCTAAATGGACCATAAAACATGTGTCACGTGACCGACGCATGATATAATATTTTCGTGACCTGTGATGACCTGACCCTGACCTGAAAATCAAAGTACAAGTTTGGTACCCGCAAGGTATCTAGAGCATCTGTTCACGAGTGTGGAAACCAAAAATGAGCCTGATCTGACTTGTAAGACGGCGGCCAGAGCCCAAAATGTGAACAAGCCAAAGTGCTAATAATTTTTACTTTGACCTGACCTGTGACGTCATCGGTGACCTCGA